CACCCCCACCCCCACACCATCACCCCTACAACCACCATCACCCCACACCCACTCTCCACTACTACAATCACCACTGTTTGTCACCACCATCAGCACTACCATCGCCCAACCACCACCTCCGTCCCACCACCACCTCTTCCACTGCTCTCCACCATCACCTCCACCACCCCACAACTGTCATTCCCATTATTACCACCATTACTATTGCACCTTATCACCACCGCCACTGTCCCACCATCACAACTACCACCACCATCGCCAACCCTCATTGCCCCACCGCCACCATCACCATCACCACTTACCACTGATTGCTACCATCGTCATCTACTGTAACTACCCACCACCGTTGTCGTTTGATTCTTATATTTATTATTTTTACCATCATCATCTCATTACCATTGTTGCCCACCATCAGCACCCACCCATTACCATTGTTATCCACCATCATCCACCGCCACAACCCTTACCATCACCTGTCGTCGCCCACCCATAACCATTGTCACTGCCCCCACCACTACCAACCACCATTGTTATCGTCCACCACCACCATCACCGTTGTCACTTACCACTGTCACCACCACCACGATTGTCACAACTCACCACAACCATCACTATCTCCCACCATTATCATTGCCGCCCATCACCACTAATACCACTCACCCCCTATTACAATCAGTACTTAAATTTCTTTATCTCTTATTTATGTTTGTGATTTAATTTTGGGTGTGAATAAAAATATGTTTATTGTTGACTTTTTTTTTTTTAGTATTTCGTGTCTTCAGCCACAGAAAATAACTAATATATATTTTATGAATTTTTGTTTGCATTCAAAAATTGGAATGGACAAGATTCTCCAATTGGATGTCTGATCATAAACGGATGTGAATTTGAATAAACACTTCAAAAATTTGTCAGATAAATAGATCATTTTTGAAACTCAAATTTTTAATTAGACTTGAACAAAGCAAGATGGGGTTTGGCTCCGATACATTGGCAACTCTAGGTGTGATGAAGGTTTGGGAAAAAAGTGGATTAATTACTTTTTCTTATCAAAAAAAAAGGGAAAAAAAAAATATGGTACGGTTTGGTCTAGCCACATAAGAAATCAAGTGTTTTTGAAATTTGGCAAATAGCTTTTGGGGTTCATTTCTAAACATTGACATGCCTGAAGTGTGACCATAGCTGGACTTTGGGGCAACTTGCCATGGCACTTTGCTAGCTAGCATTACCAAAGACAGAGGATAATGGACCAACAACTATCGAATCAGATTCCAAAACTGCCTAGTAAGAACCCAAAATCAAATGGTCAAGAGTGGGAAGCTTTTTCTAAGATGATGGTGAGTGTAGTGAAGATAATAAATCATGTCATACTTGGCTCGTGTTGTATTTAAATTATATTTTACCAAAATTTACACAATTAGTAATCGACTCATTTATATTTGACTATATATGGCCAAGTTCTAGTTGTGTGTAATCAGATTTGCGCAGATCAATTGTTAAACGGTTCTCGACCAACCTAGATATTACTCAAATCCATTTACACTAACACGTCCCAATGACTTAAATCAACCATGCATGTCCACACTAATATTACTTGAATCATGGATTAATTTGATACATAATATACCTAACACAAACCGGACAATGTTTTAGGTCACAATTCACTTTGGAACTCATATCAAGATTGTTCTCACTATTACGAAATCACATGAGCATATATCCATACATACATAGTCGATTAATATTTAAACATTCCAATGCTTTCAAAAACTATATAATATACATAGAATTAAAAAAAAAAAATCAGTTAACAGGTCATAGAGACATCCACACTATTCGCTTGGGCATTCTGCGAAACACAGCTTAGTAATCAGTTACCATAAAACGTCCAAACAACCCCTAACTTAACAGTAAAGTCTAAATAAATATATGCATTTGAAATTGCATTCCTTCTTTGGTCTATGTACAATTGACAAAGTATTCCAACAGGTAAAAATAAATAAGATTGAAAGGAAGACATTAAATTACCACAGAATCATCAATTTCATCGGTTTCATCATCCCAATCCAATGTAAAAGAGCTTGCCGACTTCATAAGCTCTGTTAATCCAGTGAGATCTTCCAGATATGTAGGATGGTTGATAGCTTGAAGAACAAAATCCTTGCCTCTCCTTCGATATTCTGATACCACCTGAAGAGCGTTGAAATTCATAATTATAGTTTGAAAGCAACTTTAAAAATGTATAACAAGGAATACTAAACAAACTATTTTTGTGCAACATGACTTAATGTCATAGTTTTAGATATTTTTCACAAATGAAATGTTTTATCTTTTTCACTAAATCTCTACGGAATGATTAAAATTAATTGTTGATATACCCTTTTAATGGAGGACCAGTCTTCTAAGTAAAAGAACCTTCATGAATTTATGAAATTTACAGAGTCCGAAAAAGCTATGCAAAAGCTTCCCAACTTCCACAAGAAAAACAAAAAAAAAAATTATACCAAAAAACCAATTGTCTTCATATGTCAAGTTTAACAGTCACCGTATACCAAACTATAAAATTGTAACAAAAGTTTTAGTCAGCTTCAACTGCATTTCCTAGTACACCTTCTGACTAATTAAGATATACTGCCTATGAAATAGCTGCACAATCAAGGTAAGTAGTATGACATATGATAAATAAAGTGACAAGAGGTCGAAAGAGAATTGCAACCAGAACCAAGATGACAGGCGAAACAGTAAAACATTAGGCTGGAAACTGAGAGATTGCATAATCATCTGAAAACTGAAACTTACAGTGTAGGAACAAGCTGTACAACTATTCGAGGAGTGACCTACAAGGGTCATCTGCGAAAACTGAGACAGGGAGCCTCGAATTTGATGGGGCAAAATTCCAAGAGGTTGCTCAGTGTTTCCAATGTCAATAGAGTTTGCAAACTCAGCTTTGGCAGATATCCTGGACAAGAACAAGATGGAAGGAAAATAATCATAACTTATATTAAGCTCACTTCTTTTATCTATAAGGTTTGTCAAAACACTTAAAACCAGCAAACAATTGATCTCCTCACAAAGTTTTCAAATACTTGCCCTTGAGGATGATGCAGAATCCCTACTAAAAGTTCGACTGCAAGTGCTGAAGCAATAGGGGCAAGCCCTGGACGTGTAACAGTGCATTGCTGGTCCAAGGTACGATTGGTAGTTGACTGCACAAAGAGTAGTGAATGTTATCATTGATGAAATTGAAACAGCAGGAGTATTATATCGATTGCTTTTGAGAACATTACATCAACTGGGGCAACTACATCATTACAGAAATAACAACCCAATCTCTGCCCTCCCTCTGTGTCAGTCAAAGAGAAGCTTCCTATTTCAGCTGATATGGCATCCACAGCTTCATCTTCAAAATTGTGAGTACTGCTGAGAGGACCAATGCCATGACGCATAACCAAGAAGCTATCAAACCCCAAAGCTGCATTAATGGTAACCTACACAAAAACAAGCACCATTATGTAACAATAAATAAACAGAGCGCAAGCCAACGATGTAGAGTTGGGAACAAGAATTAATGTTATCCACGTTTCCATAGTGAATTTTATTTGCCAAAATTTACAAAGACATGATAACCCACAAAAACATGCACAATAAGCATAAGAATAAGATGACAAAGATCAACCTTGTTAGCATTGGCACAGAGAAGGGTTGGGAGCCATCTACTTTCTCTCGTATCAGTCAACAAGAAAACTGCATCATGGGAATGAATCAAATCATGGAGGCGTCTGCAATCCTCGAGCACAATATTCTCTTCTTGGCTAGGCACTGGGTGTCCAGGCATTGGTATAGCCATCACAACACCTTCTGCTTCCTGCAAATAATAATAGCAGATAACCATGTTTTAATGGAGCCAAATTTTTTCTGGGGTTAAACAGAGCTGTAAGGTAAAATAAAGTACCACAGCTGGAAAGATTCTTTTGAGACTTCTAACTGCTGCGGTGGCTTTGAAATGACCACCATCGAGGCAGTCATCCAATGTGTATAAGGACTGCCTTAATGGATTAGACATAGCTACCTTACCACTGTCGAGCAGTGTAATTTTTCTTACACCCCAAGCCTGTAGATATGCCAAAAATATCATCACCCAAGCAACAGATTTGTAAAATTGTTACAAATTAGAGTTTTCAGACGCTCACCATAAGCATGCGAGCAACCTGGCATCCAAGTGTACCTGCTCCCAGGAGAAGACACTTTGTAGCAGACAAGACATTTAGGTTCAAAGATGGCACAGCACGCCATCTCATTAGTTTTAAATTCAAATCTGCAGCTGATATGGCTAGCCTGTCAAGAAAATATCTCTAAATGCTCAGGGCCAAGTGGAACCACAATCCTTGGGTTACAAAGTAATAATTCATAAACGAACCTAGTTGGATCCATGGACTTGGCAAGGCTAATACACCTGGGTATCCTCTTCCCCCTGTTAAGTTCCCATCCCACAGCATTCGGAATATGTTGAAGATCTTTCGATCCTGAACAAATCGTTGAATGACCAGGAAAGCTAAGGCAAAAGAAGAAATATATAGACAGAGATGAAGTATCAATAAGAAAAGGGCAGTTACCCAATTCATGCTGCTCTACCTTGTGAAACTGATATGAAAGCTTCACCAACGAGGGACAACCCCAAATCAGCAAAACCACGGTTCTCGCGATAGCATAAGAAGCAAACATTCTTGAGACCCCATCTCACACAAATAAATGCGAGGAAGTTGCGAAGAGGCCAACCAGGATTACTTGGAAGATGACAAGGATCATAAAAACCAAAAAGGAACTGCAGCGATAACAAGTAAAATAGATTCAAAAAGGAGACACCCAGAACTAATCGTTCAATACATAGAAGTAGGTTCTAACCATTTAGCGTGTAAACACTAAAAATGACTGCCTATTCATTCCAATTTGCAGAAGCTACATAACTTCTAAACTGCTGAATAGGTATGGGAACAAACCTTATGACCCTCACCTTGACAGGCTTCCCAGTCTTTCAGAGGCCTAATAGTAGCATGGGAATTCAAAGCAATAGAGATCAGAAAAAATGGTACATCTGCACAAGACTCATATGCTTTAGGCTCTTTGTACAAAGTAAAACATATAGACAAGATTCGCTTAAATAATTTGTAGGCATGATACTATGATAGTATATAAGACTTTTTAGTTTTTACCTGTTGTTGAGCTTGAGCTACGCCACTCATTACAAGCAGCTGACAGAGATTCAGCCTATATGGAAAGATAATAATCCTTTTAAGCACCAATAATCTGAAAAATAAGATACCAAAGTATCAAGTTAGGCATACACATTGCACCTCTTCAGAGCTGAACCACTGGGAAGCTGGCCTTATATCCACCAAGGTTGCAGGAGGATCAAGCACCAGGGCAGGGAAAGCAAACCAGTAATGAAAGCTCCATTTTTTTAGGTCTGCAAATGATAGAACAAGAAACCTTGAAAGCACTGCACTGTCCTCTTCAGCTTTTCCGGAATGAATGTCCTCCCAGATCTAAAAGTCAAAGAAGAGTAACTTGTAACATGAGAATATTTAAACTTGGGGCAATCACTTCATTGTCCTACTACACTTGCAAGAAAAACTACACTAATATTGAGCAAAGGTTAGGCCATTGTGGATATGGTGGGTGGATTTGGGCTTATTGGGCTTGCTAGGTTCTTGCAATCCTACAAAGATGTTGGGCAATTTGAATGTTATTTCCTTTGTTTGTTCCATCAGGAAAAAAAGAACTACACTTGCAAGCTGCTTAGGCAGTTAAACAACCGAACTGAAAAGAATTTTCCATAAATGAAAAAAAAAAAATCATCCCGAAGTCTACTTATGTGATGGGAACTGTCCGGATGAGATACCTTCTTTGCTTCTGCCTTTAGCAAGCTTTGTCTATCCAAATTATGAAAATCCTCCAGTGTATTTGTGTTGTAGAGGATGCCAGGGACAGAGCATTTGTTCCTGTTTCCACGACTAGTTGTGGGTGTATCTGATTGCTCATTTGATTCAGACGGCAATGATTCAGCAAGAAGAGTTAAATGGCTTGACACTTGAGAATGTGAGCAAGGTGCATAAAAACCTGCAAAAAAGTAATTTAACACACAGGACAAGTGAACTCGGGAGGATCAAGCAGGTAAGTACCTTTGAAACTTTGATATTATGTTATGAAAGATCCTTATTCTAACTTCAAACACTCATAAACTGACGCCAACAGCCTTAGGAGGTCAGTTGTTTAGGATGAGAAGCCTCCCTGACACTAGGTTGACATTGTTAAAGAAAACTTACTTGTTTGGGATGAATTTTCCTTACCCCTACGGTTAGGTCTAGCATCATTTGAACATAGCCTCATAAACCCAATATGGTTTTGGATCAAACTGAACCTTTGAATTCATTTAAGGGTGAGGGAAAAATGTCCCCAATAACCGTCTCTACTGTTTCTGTTTTACACCACCCTACCAAATAAAAAAACGAAGAAGATAAAAAAAAACAAAAGACCCCTCTATCTCTCTGCCCCTAGCAATTGTATGTGGAGACAAATATTCCCTCCCCTTCTTTTTTTTCTTTCGAAAGGAAACAATAGAATATGATTACTAAAGAAAAAACCAGTACATGAGGGGGACAAGGAGTCCCCTGAGAAATACATCAAGAAAAATAGAGTCTGAGTAAAATAACCTAAAGTCCTAAACAGATGAAACAAGACCAAGAGGCATCAATGTTTGCACACCATGTCTATACACTCCTTTATAATTTGCCACAAATTTCATCCGAAAAGCCAATGAAAGCTACCGCCACACATGATCATTTTTAGAATTAATACATCAAAAAATTCTTTTCCAAGAAGGATTCTGAAAAACCAACTTCAAAACTCGACCGTCCTCCTCTTGTTGACATGGTTGAACCACTTTAAATAGTTTTTGAATAATTCAAGACATTTACACCCCTTCATGTTGGTGATACCAAGAATCTCATATTTTAAGCATACAAGATAGATGACAAAAAATAGACATAAGACAGAGAAAGAAAAAAGCATACCAGCTAGGGGAATTGGAGAATCATCAATTCCTAAGTTATTGAGCTTTAGTGAAGATAATCTATGCCAGAAACCCTCATCGACAGCACTCTGGAAGGTTGCAAATTGAAGAACAGATTTATTCTCAAGTTTTGCCATGCTGCTACAATTCCCCCTTCTTCTTGATGTCTCAAATATAGAAGTTTAAAAAGGTAAAAAAAAAAAAAAAGGCACGAAGTTGCTTCCGTTATTGCTACCTAGCTGACAATGAAAAACCAACAAAACTTTGTTAAGCCCAATTCAACACTACACTGATTGGAAGTAACAAGCTTATTCTCCATTTTGAGAATTCAGAAAGCTTTAGAAAATTTTGCAGAGTCAAACTAAAAAAACCTCCAAACAATTTCAATGACAGAAAACCCAGGACGTTATGTTGGCTCCATTCTCGAAGTCACAAATTGAAGCTTCGGCCTAAATTCACATTAGTAAACGGATGTCTTAAGATTGAACCCATTTCTCCAACAATACAGGACTTGAAACCAACTTATATCAAGTAAAATGTTATTATGCACTTTACAAAATAGCCCCAAATTCAGGGTCTCTACCATCGCCATTGAAGACTAAACATCAACTTTAATGGCTTGTATTAGTGCACGAACCCCACTCACATAAATTTTTACTATTTCGACCCCCACAAAAACTAGGAAAGAATCTACCTATACCATGAGGTTTCTATAACATAACAGCCAAGTTAATTGTTACATTGGATTAAGTCCAATTTAAAAAGGGGGCAAATCTCAATGAAAAAAGTTATACCTTGGTTTGTTTGATCTGAGGAGTGAACATTACTGGAGAAAGAGAGAGAAAGTGGGTGTGTGTGTCTGTGTCAAAGTCCGTGATTGTTTTAGTTTGGAGAGAATGAAGAAGAAGGCACTGAAGCTTAGGCCCAAATACAGATTACTGAAAGCATATCTTTAGATGAAGACCTTTTTAGCAATAATCCATGAACCTGAAAAAAAAAACTCTATCACATAAAATTTAACTAATGCAACTTACAAAATAGCCCCAAATTCAGGACTAAAGATCCAATTTAATGGATTTTATTAGCGTACCACCCCTACACACATCATGTTTATTATTTCGACCACTAAAAAAACTAGGAAACACTCAACCTATACGATGAGATCTCTATAACAGCACAATCAAGAAAATTGTTAAATCGGAGCTAGATTATTTACAACAAAATAATAACTTCAAAGTACACCCAGAAAATCCAGCATCAAAGATGTCCGAGAGAGAGAGAGAGAGAGAGAGAGAGATTTGTGTAATTTACGAACCTGCGAGAGGAGAAATTTGAGATGGCGTTGGAAGCAAGTTTGGAGAGAGAGAGAGAGTCGATGTCTTTGATGGTTTGAGTTTGGAGAGCATGAAGGAGAAGACTGCTTGAACTCCTCGGAGGATTTCGTGTCCGGCGAAGAAGACTACCGTGATCCTTTACGGTTCTACAGTATTATTATCTAAGTAACCAATAAACTATTGCCATGTCATATACGGAAATTATGATGAAATATTTTTTTTCCTACTATTATTATTATTATTATGTTTTTTTGGTGTTGAGGTGTGAGTTATCTGAATGAATTTTCACGCGCATCAATTCATCGTAGCAAATGTCATCAACACGGGACTAGAAAATTAGTGAAGTATTTAGTTCTAAATTAGTTGTCAAATATCAAACGCACAACGTCCGAGTTCTATTAAGATCTAAAGTAGAGTGTTCATAGGTCGAGGTCGGGCTCAACTTACAAAATATTTTTCAGGTTAAATATGGGTAAAGTAGGCCTAAACTTTTACCTAAGTAAATAATTGGACAAATTGAGCTAGACTTCGACTAAGGGTAGACTACTCACAGCCTAACCCGCCACTCCCTAAGCGAGCATTGCGGGCAGGCTTGTTGAGAGGGTTTGTGGGCAAGCTTACTAGACAAACTTTTTATATACAACTTTATTTAAAAATAATGAATATTTTTATAACTTAATATTTTTTTTAAATTACATTTTTGAATTAAAAGTAGAGTTAAAATAAATAAAAAATTAATTACAAATAATTTTATTTATGATTAATTTAACGTGTCTAACTTTTTTTCAATGAAAGGCGGACGACTGTTGGGATGGGCGGACAAGTTATTGGGTTGGGTTTAACCGGTTATTGAGATGAGTTTCAAATTGGGTATTGGGGTTGGGGTAAGCCTAAGTCCTCTCGAAGGATATTAGACTCAAACTCGAATGGATAAACTATCGGAATTATCGAATTTCGAAACTATTTTTTCGAGTCAGGTAATAGAACCCCTGAACATTCTCACCTATGAACACCCCTAATCTAAATAGTGTGCGGCACAATCTCGTAAAATTAATTATATTAATTTTATTTGTTGATCAAACTAGTAAATAATTTTCCCATAATTATATTGATACATTAAATGGAGGGGAAATTTTTCATTGCTTAAAAAATACTTATGGTAGTGTCAACTGATTTCCACACCTAATGAGAAATTAGTACACTTGTTTGTTGAACCCACAAATTAATTTTTGTAAAAAAAAAAAATCTGACTTCACAAATTACAGTAATTAATATAAAATGTATAATATTTTACGAATGATGATGTGTACTATATCACAGTGTCATATAGTGTATGGTGAGCTATGTTGTATACTATATCACGAGTTCATGGTCACCCGATAGCTTAAATCTCTCCAACCATAGCCTATTGTATTCTCAGATTAAAAAAAGTTTTGTAATATTTTTGATTAATTAATTAACTAGTCAAAAATACTGGTTTTAGATTCAATTTTACACTCTACTCAATTTCAGAATTTCTATCTATTTGACAAGGCCTCATTTGCATCTTTTCTTAGGGTATGATACATTTCCATGTTCAAAAGAAGTATACATATACTTATACATATATTTGTTGAGAAATTCAAAAAGAAATTTGGAATCAAACAATGTCTACTATTATCAAACAGATTATAGGAATGAGCAATCGGTTAAAGTTGCTCAACACACAATTTTATCATGCTATCTATTACAGTAGAATAATGTACAAAATAACTTTCAAATGTCAAAAGTGCATTCATCTAATAACATAAAGGCAACCCTAACAATTATATAGCTGTGTGTGTGATAGTAATTAGGGTTTTCAAAAGAGTAAACATAGAGATGAATAGAGAGAGAGATAGAGACAAATCTATCAAATATATTCTATAGAATATACAAATTTAAGAAAAATTAAACGAAATATAAGTTGAAAGATACAAAATATGACAATTGTACTTGTTCGAGATGGACTGTGATCTCCAACAAGTCTAGAAGAACGAAGAGAGAATAAAGTTGGGTTGGGTTGGGTTGGCCTACAAGACTCATTACCTGACCTAAAAAAATATACTCGAAATTCGATAGATCTGTTAATGAGTCTACTCGAACCCTAACTCAATATCCTTGAACATAAAGTTTGGGCTGGCTCCCAAGCCCAATACCTGGTCTAAAACAGCTTGTCACAGTCTCCAACAATCACGTAGGTCAATGGTCATGAAAAATATCGTTCCCAGCTGAGAGCGTACCAATAGAGTCGAAATGGTCAATACGAAAAAAATTAACATAAAAGTAATTGGGCTGAAGTGATTTTGGATAAATAAAATCCCTATTTTTGGGTTTATAATTTTAGTGACAAAATAATTTTAATTTTTTAAAATTTACTTCAAATAATAAGTAATTTCAAATGCTATTTTTTTTTTTTGAAAATACTTAGGATAAGTCAAAAGTCTAAAAAAACACTTTTCTTTAAGTCATCTCAAACATACTCTTATATAAATGTTAACATGATTCTACTGGGTTGTTTATTAGTTTTGCATTTTGTCAATGTCAATATCTTTTTTTGGTACATAAAATAAATATGAAAATAATTCATTTTACATATTCGGAAAGAAACATTGTCTCTCAACATCACATACCTACAGAAGACTCTATCGCACCTATGTCGGGACTGAATCTAAAGTCTTACCCCGTACTCTAGGCATTGAAGAATAAATTTAATCTTAGCAAATTGTCATAGTTGTAGAATTCAAACTCAAATATTGAGCGAAAAAATTTAAATTCTTACCCACAAAACAACTGTTTGATGGTACTATGAATATTTGAGTCAAATGTTCAATAATCCATTTGGGTTGCTTCAACGTTATGTACAAGACTTGCATAATAGATGTCTTGTCCATAAAACTTGCCTTTTTGCTCATTTGTGTAAATCACAAGCCATGAAGAAAAAGGTTTTTGTGGCATGTGGGTCATGACCCAGAAGCCACAACCACAAAACCATCAAAATAAGACTATGATATTAATTAGGAACAGATTTAGAAATTTGTTTATGGATGGACATTTTAGTTATATTTTTCTCAATACTATAGTACTTACAAAATGACCATGCAAATTATTATATAATATCCCTAATTTTTTTATAATAACTAAATTATCCCATAATTTTTTTTAAAAAAAATAACTAAAATGAAAAACTTATTCAAACATATCTGCACCATGTCCAAAATAGACCCAAAATTCATAGTAATTTATGTATGAGTCTATGTCAATTGATTTACAAAAAAATGATAGGATGGGCATACTAAAATTTAATGAAAACATATTTCTAATATTAGTTCAAAAAAATTTAGGGTGGGGCATGGGCCCCCCTTGGACCATGACTAGCTACGCCAATGATACAAATGATTAATTCTCGATATAATATAAAAAATTATAATTTAATTGAATCAAATAATGGTTTAAATGTACAAAGTTATTTATCGATGAATATAATCAATCCTAACAATTTGAGATTGATCACAATATGTGAAACTTGACACAATTGAATTGCAATTTTCAAAAATTGTTCAGGAACTATACTGAATTTGATAGGGTAATATTTTCCATTATTATCATGCATTTGAAAGAACCAAAAAAAAAAAGGAATCCTTTCCTATTGTTTTGAAGCATTGATCATGGCTACTATTTTGGAGTCGTAGTAGACATCTTATCCAGGCTAGATGTCAAAGCCCGATGAACAGAACTAGCAAAGTTCTTATGTCTTATAGCTTGTGCCGATTATTCCCTTGAGTTCTGACATTGGCCATCGTAATCCGAGCGAGTTTAGAATGTATCTCTTAAAAAATAAGGATGGTTAACCCTCATGAAGTATGAGAAGTGTTGAACTTGAAACATCTAAATTACTATATGGCAAGTTCAACAACTGAATGTTTCTCTATATGTTGCTTTTCTCCGATGTAGCTGAAAACAAATACATTCTTTGACCGCCTCCAAGTGACACAATTCAAAATAACACGAAACAAAAATAAAACGATTCAAAATGTCCACTCACAGAAGCACAAAAATAATCACCAGTAGACCCAGAAATTGATTACTGTAAGTATTAAAGCACAAAGTCTAACATCTAGATGAGGGACACAATATGATCATAATACTTACCGTAGTCTTGGGGACTTTAAGGTATATTAGTACATATAAAAAAAATTCAAATTGATTGGTTGAAGGTTCGACTACTCCCAAATAAACCAACTCAGGCCCTTAATTAAATGTCATGTAAGATTATTTTTAGATATTAAAAAGAGCAATCGAGTACGTGAGTCTTTTGTGACGATGAGAGAAAGATGGGAGACCACATAGGCAATGTTGTAATCAGCTACAAGTTGCAACAAGTGCAGGAACATTTGAGCTCCTAAAGCAGAAACCTTTTTCAGAAATTCAAAGGTTTTTTTAACAAGAATATATGACTTCTCTTTTAGCTGCTTTCTGTGGTGGTATATTCCATCTCTTTTGCAATTTTTATCCTTTTCTTCCTTGGTGAGAACAGCCAGAACTTGCCTGGAAAATGCAAGGTATGTTACTATCAACTCGTCGTTACTTATATTTTAATATATCTCATTATGTACGCAAGTTGGTATCGTCATGCATATGAGATCATAGAAGGAAATAGACCTTTAAGAGGGAGATTATCACACTGAAAATGGCATTTTCCAACATAATAATTTCAAATATTTTGTTAGTTTTTAGAATTTTCCATTATTCAAGGTTAAAATCTCTATCGTTTAGAAAGAACTGAGGTACATAAATATACACTAGCAACACCATGTTCGATGCACGGTATTTTTAATCTTTTTTATCACAATTTTACTACAACCACCCCCAACCCCTATTGCACCCCTCATCCCCCTATGATCCCGACCTTGACCCTAATATTTTTTGAAAATTATCCATTATTGTGCTAAATTAAAGAAGACAATTACATAAGCTACATGTAAAGATTTAATTTGATGAGATCAATGCATTTTTATTACATAATTTAACATTAAATAAACCTACTACTTGATAAGGAAAAATTTCATAAGTGCCATCTCTTCTAAATTAATTTCTATAAAATATATAGTAAATATGGATTTAGACGAGAGAGAGAGACAAGAAATGGAGAGACGATGGGAGAAAAACTTGGGAGAGTTGAAAATTTTTAGGAGTTATCCTATTGACGAAGAATTAAATTATTCAAAAAGGATCAATGACATAAAGCCAAATCAATTTTGACAATTTAAAAAATTAAAAATTCAAAAAAATTAGAATGGAGTTTAGGAGTTCATCCAAACCAACTACATTACTACATATTATGTGTGTGTGTGTATTATTAGTCAACATATTTTGAATGAAAAGATTGTTAGGATTACTAACTCAGGATTACCAAAAAAAAAAGTCGTAATTTGTACAATGTTCGTGATTTGCGAGAAATTGCATACATCTAAAATTCGCCTTAAAACCAAGCATCCAAAAATTGCATAGGACGATTATTTGTTAAAAAAAGAAGTATTGTCTTTTGCTTCATTATTATAAATAATGAGTAATTCTCATGGTAGGGCTTCGAATTAGACCTAAGGCATTGTATAAAGGGCTACGAAAATGACCCAAAACCAAACCCTTTCTTTCAACACTTTCACATTAATTTTCAATGAAAGCATATGATATTATAAAATCCTCCATAACCTAATTTTGCAACCTCTCTTAGTCAATTTAGGTGACATGCATGGGGTATCTAATCCATTCTGTGTGCATGGAGATGTTATCTTGCCTATGAAGGTAGTTTTGAGAAAGACTCGAAATATATTTACACTCCATAGGAGACCATTCGTCGTTGAATAAAATACGATTTATTTTTGTATATATTTGTACGTGTACTTATTTTTAATATACGGTAAGTGATCAATCATTAAAAAATTGAAAAAATATATTAGATGGGATCGAGATTGAGATAGAATAGGACTCCATTGAAAGCAGTTTCTTTGTGCTCTTACGTAGGTCTTCCAATACCTTCGTCGCGAAGAAGCAAGCCAAGGAAAAGTGGGAAGAAATATAGAGTGGGTGGGTCGGACCAGTTCAATATTATTCTTATTCTTTCTTATCTTTCTTTCTCTCTCTTATGTGTATGACTTGCTCCCCAATCAAAAGAGAGACAGAGACAGAGATGCCTCTCCAAAATGTATGTATATATACACTGTTTGATCACCATCTTCCAGCACATACAAATCCTCCTTAGATATTTCAGGGAAAGAGAGCATAGTGACATAGTCTCAAGTTTCAGCATGACAGTGAGTTCTTCTTCTTCTTCTTCTTCTTCTTCTTCTTCTTCTTCTTCTTCTTCTTCTTCTCTCTCTCTCTCTCTATAATATATAGTTATATATAGATTGTGTTTGTATGTGTGAACACACATGCGTCTGAGTGTGCATGCCAGCACTCAATGATGCTACCAAGGGACTGACTATGTTTAGCATGCATGTAGGTGTAGCTTCGATGAGCTTGCTTATTTGTTATGTATCTGCAATTCTGCATACATGGTTGGCTTTGGTTTATGAGATACTTGTTTATGGGATTATAGTATATACTCTGATAATGGCAACTATATATGTTAATGACAAGGATTATGATAACTGTTAGTAAATACTGGCAAGGTAGGATTATCATGTCACACTCTTGAGTTACAAGATAGCATTACAACTTAATCTGTTAAGTTTACAATAAAATAAAGTTGTTTATGATAGATCATAACGTTTTAAGATCAATTCTGATGTTTTTATCGTAACTTGAGATGTTTAGTTGTAATTTACCTCAAAAAATACAAAAAAATTATTAATTTCAATATCACACTTTCATGTTCATTGATGAGGAGAAAACTGTTTCTTAATTTTGTGTTGATGCTGCAATGAACAGTTTTTATGAATTTATACTTGAATTTGAATGTGTTTTGATAGCTAACAATCGTCTCAACCACTCCTCTTTTATACTCATTATTGTGATGTAAGCTTTGAATGACCAATATCACTTATAGTCTACAGGTGCATCGAGTCAGTTATCTGTTTGTAATTCTTCTTTCTAGACCAGCCTGATGGTTTTTGTCCTTTCAATGTTTGTTAAGTGGGTCAGGTCAACCCTTTTTATTAAACATCTGAGAGGGTCTACAAGCCTACAAATTCCAACATCTTATGGGACACATGATCTTATCCTGTTTAATCATACATAACGAAAATGTTATCATGATCATAATGGGTCCTGTTTTGTTTTCTAAATAATTACAGCAATTATAACACTGGCAAAACTAGCTAGGCAAGTATTAATTACTTTGTTGTTGATTTAGATTGTGGAGATGAGAGTGCACATGGACTGTCCTGGATGCGAAAGCAAGATCAAGAAAGCACTTCAAAAACTTGATGGTACCTCAACTCACTGCATCACTATTTTTTTTCATAGGGTGTTAAAATTTGCGTCGATTGTTATCTTAAGCTATGAGTTGATTATCATAATTCGATTTAGTTTAAGGACATATCTCCTAAGAAACAAGGGTGACCGACCCTTAGGGGGTGTGAGAAGTATATGCATGTGTATATATGAGTAATGCTATTGAGATCTAAAAACTAGGTATAATTTGTTGACCTATTGATATTATTTCATTATAAACATTAAATTAATATTAAGTTTTAATATTTGATGGGCCCTGCAATCAATCCAAAAATTACAGTAAATTAAGTCAACAAATTATGTTCCAATAACATTGCTTGTGTGTATATGTGTGCGCACAGAAAAAGGTACCATTCTAATTAAATATCGTAATATTTTCTTTAATGCTCCGTTTGGTATGATGGAANAATATATAGTTATATATAGATTGTGTTTGTATGTGTGAACACACATGCGTCTGAGTGTGCATGCCAGCACTCAATGATGCTACCAAGGGACTGACTATGTTTAGCATGCATGTAGGTGTAGCTTCGATGAGCTTGCTTATTTGTTATGTATCTGCAATTCTGCATACATGGTTGGCTTTGGTTTATGAGATACTTGTTTATGGGATTATAGTATATACTCTGATAATGGCAACTATATATGTTAATGACAAGGATTATGATAACTGTTAGTAAATACTGGCAAGGTAGGATTATCATGTCACACTCTTGAGTTACAAGATAGCATTACAACTTAATCTGTTAAGTTTACAATAAAATAAAGTTGTTTATGATAGATCATAACGTTTTAAGATCAATTCTGATGTTTTTATCGTAACTTGAGATGTTTAGTTGTAATTTACCTCAAAAAATACAAAAAAATTATTAATTTCAATATCACACTTTCATGTTCATTGATGAGGAGAAAACTGTTTCTTAATTTTGTGTTGATGCTGCAATGAACAGTTTTTATGAATTTATACTTGAATTTGAATGTGTTTTGATAGCTAACAATCGTCTCAACCACTCCTCTTTTATACTCATTATTGTGATGTAAGCTTTGAATGACCAATATCACTTATAGTCTACAGGTGCATCGAGTCAGTTATCTGTTTGTAATTCTTCTTTCTAGACCAGCCTGATGGTTTTTGTCCTTTCAATGTTTGTTAAGTGGGTCAGGTCAACCCTTTTTATTAAACATCTGAGAGGGTCTACAAGCCTACAAATTCCAACATCTTATGGGACACATGATCTTATCCTGTTTAATCATACATAACGAAAATGTTATCATGATCATAATGGGTCCTGTTTTGTTTTCTAAATAATTACAGCAATTATAACACTGGCAAAACTAGCTAGGCAAGTATTAATTACTTTGTTGTTGATTTAGATTGTGGAGATGAGAGTGCACATGGACTGTCCTGGATGCGAAAGCAAGATCAAGAAAGCACTTCAAAAACTTGATGGTACCTCAACTCACTGCATCACTATTTTTTTTCATAGGGTGTTAAAATTTGCGTCGATTGTTATCTTAAGCTATGAGTTGATTATCATAATTCGATTTAGTTTAAGGACATATCTCCTAAGAAACAAGGGTGACCGACCCTTAGGGGGTGTGAGAAGTATATGCATGTGTATATATGAGTAATGCTATTGAGATCTAAAAACTAGGTATAATTTGTTGACCTATTGATATTATTTCATTATAAACATTAAATTAATATTAAGTTTTAATATTTGATGGGCCCTGCAATCAATCCAAAAATTACAGTAAATTAAGTCAACAAATTATGTTCCAATAACATTGCTTGTGTGTATATGTGTGCGCACAGAAAAAGGTACCATTCTAATTAAATATCGTAATATTTTCTTTAATGCTCCGTTTGGTATGATGGAAAAATAGAAGGATGGAAAGTTAGAGGGATGAATAAACATCATGTTCGGTAAGGAAGAAAAATAGGAAAGATGGAAAAATAGATGAATGAGTTTTCATTCTAACTTATCAAAATCAATCATTCCAAAATCAGAAGAAAAGTTGATAGAAAGTTAATTATTTGTTGTAAAATATATCTTATTTGTCTATATATCATTTGAGATATATATACATTAATTTCATATATAAATACAATAATAAAAATATGTATTTATATCATTAAATATTAATGTGTTTCAGGAGTTGATAACATTGATATAGACATGGGAATGCAAAAGGTGACAGTCACAGGATGGGCAGAGCAGAAGAAGGTTTTGAAAACAGTGAGAAAAACTGGAAGGCAAGCTGAGCTGTGGCCTTTCCCATACAACCCAGAATACCATGACTTCACTAACTATTACTACTACAACCAATATCATCATCAGAGCAACCCTTCTTCATACCTCACATTCCAGCAGCCTCCTTCTTCTTACAACTACTTTAAACATGGCTACAATGGCCATGATCATGGCTACTACCATCAACCTCCATTCTCGACTATCGTTGATGAACCGACCAGAGCCATGTTCAGCGATGAAAACGCTAACGCTTGTTCTATAATGTGATTGTGTTAAAGCATCTGTTGTGTGTGTAAATTTGGTGTATTAGTGATGATTTTAGACCCATTTGCTACTAAATTTCTGTAATGTCTGGTGTGCACTTGTACGTATTAGTTGAGTGAGATGTCATATGTTCAATGTTAGTTCTCTCTTTCATGGGAGGAAAATAAATTATAATATTTTCTTTTTTTTTCTTATTTGCTTTTATCTTCATTTATTTTGGTGAGGATGCAAGCCTTTTACCTACTAAAGGTCCATACTCCCTATACAAAATCTGCCATCTTCCTAGTTATTCTAGTAATCAAAATGTATTCTATTTATGTGGGTTGTTGCTATACACTACTCTCATTATAAGTAAAGAAACCGCCTCTCCACATGTGGCAGTAGAGATACATCACAGCTTCAAATTATCAGTACAATCCCCTCTTTTGTGAAATAAAACTACATACATCTGGCAATCACTAGCCCAACAATGGCGGGAGCTTCGGACACTGAAATATTTTATTATTATGAATACTTTGAATTGGATTTCAAATATTAGGCATCATAGCATCACCATGGAAACAACAATTTATCAGGAACATAACTTCATTTGATAAAGTGCTCAACTAACTGTACATGTTTCAACCTTCTTTTTTTTTTTTTTTTTTTTCAGAAGGTACCCGTTTCAACTTGAAGAGTGCCTCTATTTAACACCTTTTTTTGGGAGGTGGGGAGTGGGGGAAGGAGGGTTGTTACGCTTGGCACTGTTACAAACCCCCAACCCCTGAAACTGCGGCCACCAGGCTATAGTCGGAGCCTCTGCATTTATATACACTTCGTAACTATAAGCTAGCAGCAATCAATGAGGAAGACCGACTCCAGTTGCTTTTCTTGTTGCTTTATGCTGTCTGCAACATGAGCTACCACTCCAGCTCCAGCATTATGGATCCATTCACTTTTCACCTGTGTTGAAATTAACAATTAATTTAGACCCGTAAATAAAGTAAGCGTATGCCATAAAGTGGGATAGTTTTTCCAGAAGTCGGTACATTGAGGTTGTTATGGGCAAAGAAAGGCCAGAATGCCGAGTGAAAGCTAACATCGACTTTTGTCCATCCCAACTGTTGTAAGCCGCATATCATTTCCTCTGTTAACAAACTGAAGCCATCATCACTGTTTGTCGAGTGACAAGAAGTAAAGCATCATCCTATTCGAATCCAATTTGATTAATTCATTTTAATTGATAAAATTAGGAGTCATCAAAGAAATTAAGATCATTATGTATATCACATTCAAATTACTAGCATTATTATTTCTCTGATCGATAAAATTACATATCTGTAAAGTAAAAAAAGGAGGAGGAAATTCTTTTATGGTCAAAAATTCAATCATATCCGTTACTTCACAAGAAGAAAAGAAAGAAAACAGAGGTCTGCTGAATTTCAAGTAGTCAATTTTACCAATAAGATACGGAGACTTACTTCACATTTGGAAATGCACAAAAATGATTATTTATCTCAGAGAGGTCTACGGAAAATTCTGGGAAAACATCACTGGCTATTGGCTTATTTGTCAAAAAAAAAAAAAAATAGAGTACGTTATAAAAAAATAATTGGTCAGTTGGATATTCGAGAGATAAAAAGTATCAAATCACAAGTTCCATTCATCAATCATTATTACCTTCCATAAATTCATGATACTCGATTGTATTCTCCATGTTGGGTTCATTTTGAGCTGCCTCCTTTGCTTTCACTGCTTCTGGATGGAAATGAGGACCCTGGGATACAACTGGGGGACAATACTCCACATTTACAACATGTTTGTAACCATCCAAAGAACGCTGAGAGGGCTGTCAATTCAAGTATGTAAAGGAACATAAGCATACAGTCCAGATACAATACATATGTCTTTGCAGTCAATTGTATTAACTTCGACTACAAAGACTTCCTGAGCTTTGAAGGAGAAAAACAAGACGGAAAAACAACACTTCTTCCTCAGCAATAGACAAATAAGGATTGCAGTAAACTGTCCCCATTGATCACCACTATAATCATGGCAGAACTCTGTGATATAGACAACTACAAGATGACAGTGACGAGGACATAATTCTGAGCCCTTTAGCACATTCTATCCATTATTTTACACCGTTTCAGACATTTAAACAAACAAGTATGGGAAGAAATATTTCCGACACCAATCAAGAGACATCTCTTTGGGTGTCAACTGCCAAGGAATTTGAAGGGGTCCAATTATTTTCCATTAAAGACCAATGGCCTCAAGTGTGGAATAGTGTTGCCACAAGACATCTTTTTCAACCATTATTTTCTTTTTTCTGTTTTCTTTTTTGACTTTGTAATCTTTTGAGGACTCCTTGTCCTCTCATGTTTCTTTTTTTTTTTATTATCAATTTAATAATACTCTCTTGTTTCCTATATAAAAAATAAAAAGAGGTAACACATCATAAGCATTATTGACAATGGTTGACTCATCCCCAAAACAAGCCATGTCACTTATTGTCCTTAAAAAAATTTCCAAAAAGAGGTAACACATCATAAGCATTATTGACAATGGTTGACTCATCCCCAAAACAAGCCATGTCACTTATTGTCCTTAAAAAAATTTCCAATGTAGTAAATGTGGTATATTTGAATCCAACAAAACCTACTAAAATAAAGAAAACTAAGCATCTTTAGAACACTTAAAAGTCTAAGAGAAAGTGGAACAAATATTTCGTAGAAAACTTCTAAAACTTGTATACTCATTGCCTTCATTTTGTGTACAACCCTACACACAAACACCAACAGATACACACTCAACAAATTGATGGGCTTTACTCAAAATCATCTCTTGAGTGAATTAAAATATATAGAAACAAATGCTGTTCCTCCAATATGGGATGGTTGGAGGAGGAGTGGACTAAATAGACACATAAACTTAATTATCCCAAAGTGGCAGCTTAGGGCACAGACACGTCTTCAAGCCCAATTATGAGAGTTTTTATCATTGCACCAGACAATAACCATCTATATCTATTGATGTGGTCTTCCCGTCATTTCTCAAATTCAGAACCTTCGAGCTGGACCCAAAAAATTGAGTGTAAGGTAGAGAAAGTGATGAGCAGTTTAGGATATGGAATAAAATCACCTTTATAACTTCTGCCTCCCTTCTTATTGAGGATGTGCGCCAACCAACCATATCTACATAGTGTTTAAGTATATAAGACAAACAACTTGAGACAAAGAAAAGTAAATATCCCAATGAAGAACAAACATGATGGCCACTCAAGCTTATTAAACAAGAATATGCAGCAGGATACGGTCATATGAGACATTTGCATAAAGAACTCGACATTTGAATGCACCAAGGGCAGATCTGCAAGACGGAACGGAAGCCGAATCTTTAGAATGGGGAAGCAAAATGCGACCTTCAAGAATGGAAAAAGAGATTTATCTGCTTACATAAAATTTCCATCTTCATTATCAGACGCCATTCTTAATACGAGAGGCGGTATGTCGGGTTTACCATCAGTGAGGAACAGCTGACCACCTGTTCGGCCAGCAAAAATAGGAGCAATTGGTGCAGCAAGTTTCTCTAGAAGGGGGACTCCAAGAAGAAATGGAAGCTGAATCATGAAAGAAAAACTGTGAGACAGTCCCGTTCCAATAGTTTAATAACTGTCAATTGTAATCAAGTCTTTTCTTGAAGTATATAAATATTTACGTTACACCATCTCCAACAACTTCAAGTTTTTAGATGAATTAGTGGGTTTAAATGGTACCAGAATAGGATGTATACATTTGAATCTAACCGTCACCCTAATAATTGAAAGAACTACACGCGCTTGGCCCAAATCTAGCCCGCACGAAGGGGTGTATTGAGTATTCAGAAACTAAAGTTACATCTACTCTAATAGTTTGAACTTTCAAAACAAATGGTAGTTTAACATCTTTAGTACACATATTGACATATATACTCACTAAAGAATTGAAGAAGCATGAGCATAAGAAATGATTAGTAAATGAGAAAATGATGCTTAAAGCACATCGTTGAAGAGTTTGTGTGTGTGTGGATATATATCTTTAGGTTACAAGCTCTATGGTGGAAGTACATACATAGATATTGACATCCTAAAAAGGTCTAATGAATCTCAAACGAGTGAGGTACTACTATTATTATCGAAAGATTAGATATTCATGAAGTTGCTGCTTAATAATGCATCCACATAAACACAATTACATAAAAAATGTTTGCGGAAGAATGAGAGTTCCCTATGAAAAGTACAGCAAGCCGATGCAAAGGATTGTATGTCAAAGCTGTTAAGTTGAAAGAATTAACATAACACAATATTAGAGCCAATATTAAAGAGAAAGAGAGGTTAAAAACTTAATTTAACTCTCATACATCACTTGTATTTATAGTTAACCTACAATAACAATAATTACACATACACCCTCTTACTATTAACAAATTACACATACTACCCTACTATTCTTAACACTCCCCCTCAAGCTGGATTATATATATCATATAATCCAAGTTTGGAACAAATAGCTGTAAGACGTGTACGACTCAATGCTTTGGTAAACATATCTACAAGTTGATCTTCAGATTTTACAAATGGAGTTATAATCTTCCCGGTTACTATCTTGTCTCGAATAAAGTGACAATCAACCTCAATATACTTAGTTCTCTCGTGAAACACAGGATTGACAGCAATATGAATAGCTGTCTGGTTGTCACAGAACAACTGTAAAGGAAGTTGAACTGGAAACCCAATTTCTTGGAGGAAGTATAGTAGCCACGTCAGCTCACTCATCGTATTTGTCATTGCCCTATACTCAGCCTCAACACTGGATTTTGCTACCACGAATTGTTTTACTTTTTTATGAGACAACATTACCTCCTAAAAAATTACAATAACTAGTGGTTGATCTTTGATCAAAAGGAGAGCCAGCCCAATCAGCATCTAAGAAACTTTCCACTCTAAGATGTCCATTAGCTCGATATAACAGTCCAAGTCTAGGAGCTCGTTTGAGATATTGCAAAATACGAGTAACTGCCTCCCAATGTGGTACTCTAGAACATCCCATAAACTGAATTACTATCCTGACTACATAGGAAATATCCGGTCGAGTAATAGTGAGATAATTAAGTTTTCCAACCAATCTGCAATACCGATCCCGATTCTCAAACAATGCACCATCATCCATTAATAATTTCTGATTCGGATCCATAGGAACATCAATCGGTCTACCACCTAACAAACCAGCTTCCTCAAGCATGTCAAATGCATATTTCCTCTGAGATAAACAAATACCCTGTTTAGATCGAGTCACCTCAATACCCAAAAAATACCTAAATTTTCTCAAATCCTTAGAATAAAATCGATCTTGTAAAAATATTTTTAACTTGGCAATCCCCTCAGAATCATTTTCAGTAATCACAATATCATCTACATAGACCACCAATAGGACATATCCAGCCTCTGTCTGTCTATGAAACACAGAACGATTTGTTTGACATCGAAAAAAACCAAACTCTAAAACTGCATCTGAAAACTTATCAAACCATGCCCTCGATGACTGCTTCAAACCATACAAAGATTTCTTTAACTGACGTACACTCTTACCATACTCCCCCTGAATAGTAAACTCAAGTGGCTGTTCCATGTATACCTCTTCAACCAAATCACCATGTAACAAGGCATTCTTGATGTCTAACTGAAACAAGGGTCAATCAAGATTAGCAGCCAAAGAAATCAAGATACAAACAGAGGTAATTTTGGCAACAAGAGAAAAAATCTCCTCATAATCAACACCATAAGTCTGAGTAAAACTCTTTGCAACAAGTCGGGCTTTAAGACGCTCCACAGAATTATCTGGATGAAATTAACAGTATACACCCAACGACAACCAACAGTTTGTTTACCAGAGGATAAAGGAACGAGATCTCACGTCTCATTATGATGTAAAACATCCATCTCCTCCTCCATAGCTATCCTTCAACCCGGATTAGATAATGCATCCTGTAAATGCTTAGGAATAGACATAACAGATAATTGGGAAGTAAAACAGGAGAAGATAGGAGACAAGGCATCAAATGAAACAAAATGAGAAATGGGATGATTAGTAACACGTGAACGAGTACCTTCGTGAAGAGCAATAGGTAAAGAGTCTAAATTACCTAATGGACTCGGATCTGAAGGCGGCAAGGAAGACAGTACGGGCACCTCAGTCAATGGTCGAGGCCGGCGAAAGTAGACACGGAGAGGTAAAGGAGATGGTAACACAGTGGGCAGCGGAATATCTGAAGATGAGGAAAAAGATGGTGGTACAGGAAAGGATCCAAAGTCCAAATCCAAAGGCTGAGAAGGTACTGAAAAGTATGGAATAGATTTTTCAAACGTGACATCGACACTAGTAAAATATCAGTGCAGAGAAGAACTATAGCAATGATACCCCTTCTGCGTGTATGAGTAACCAAGAAATACACATTTAGTAGCTCGAGGGTCAAGTTTGTCAAACCCAGGACCCAAATTGTAAACATAACAGATACAACCAAAAACCTTAGGAGTCAGGAAAAATAAGGACTTACCAGAAAAAATGACAGAATATGAATTTTGCCCATTTAATACAGAGGATGACATACGATTGATAAGATGACAAACAGTAAGAACAACATCACTCCAATAATATCGGAGAATATTAATCTGTAATAACAGGGCACGGGTGACTTCTAACAAATGACAGTTCTTGCGTTCAGCAACACCATTTTGTAGAGAGGTGTCAGCACAAGGGGTCTGATGAATAATGCCAGTTTTATTGAGATAAGCTGAAAAAGGATCAGATTCATATTCCCGAGCATTATCGGAACGTAAAGTATGTATACGACAACCAAATTGAGTTTTTATTTCCTTACGAAAGGTCTCAAAGATAGAGAATAATTCAGATCAAGCTTTCATCAAAAACAACCAAGTCACATGAGAATAGTCATCCACAAATATCACAAAATAAGGATATTTATTAAATGAAATATTCTTTCTTAGACCCCATACATCAAAATAGACTAATTCAAATGGACTAGACACATGATTATTGACTCTAGACTGAAATGACACAAGGTGATGCTTACTAAGTTGACAAGCTTCACAAGATAAAGATGACACACAACTAAGACTGGAAACTTGGAGCTTCAGATTCTAGAGAGAGGGATGTCTAAAACGACAATGCCATTGAAAAGGAGACAACGAGATCTGTAGGGCCCGAGTAGGTGAATCAAAATCAAAGTAATATAGGTCACCAGCTTCATACCCCGTACTAATCTTCCTCTTCGTCTTAAGATCCTGAAAGGCACAATAAGATGAATAAAAGGTCATAGAATAATTGAGAGAACGAATAATCTTACTAATAAAAAGTAAACAAAAAGAAAACTGAGGGACAAATAATACGGAAGATAGGGACATATTAGGACTCAAGTTAGTAGTCCCAAGACCTGAAACTTTAGAACAAGTACCATTAGCAAGAGTAAGACTACGTGTGGAAGTAGCAAGCTAATAAGTAGAAAAAATCTCAGACACACCAGTTATGTGGTCAGAAGTGCCAGAGTCTATGATCCAGGGACTGTGAGTGGTGGACAATAAACAAGTAGAAGCAGTACCTGACTGGACAAAAGTAGCAGTGGAGGAAGATGGTACAACCTGTTGTTGGGACAGAAACTGGGCATACTCCTCTCGACCCAGTGTAATAGTAATTGACCTAGTATCTGGTGGAGCTGACCGAGGAATGGGAGCAACAACAGAGGTATCATCCTGATAAGAAGCTTGATTCGCAGCACCAGAAGGCTTTCCAGATAAATCCCAACAGAAATCAACATTGTGCCCTCCACGACCACAGTGAGTACAGGAACGAGGTCCACTACGGCCCCCATGACCACCCATACGACCTCCTCGACCACCACATCCACCTCGATGATCATCACTATGGCTACTAGGAACCACAAGAGCTGAGCGATCAGTGGAGACACCATGATCAATGCCAAAAGGAGTAGACAGGGTAGCACATTATAAACGAGAGAAAACCTCAAGTAGTGATGGAAGATTAAAACTACCCAAAATCTGAAAACGAATAGCCTCATATTCAGGTTTCAACCCTACCAAAAACCTAATAACATTCAGGTCCTCATGTTGCTTCTACCAAGCTACTGCATCAGTAGTAAACGGATGGTAGGTCTTTATCTTCTCACAAACTCTCCGAACATGAGAGTAATAATCTGCAAGGCTCAGAGTACCCTGTTCTAACCGGAAGTACTTCTTGCACACCTCATACGCACGGGTAAAATTACTTGTACCAGAATACATAGTGGCCAAGTGATCCCATATCTCCTTGGCAGTGTCAAGGTAGAGTAGAGTGGAACTAATACTAGGCTCAATGCTATTCAGTAGTAAAGACATAATTTGAGCATCCTCTTGTTCCCACTGATCATACCCAGGAATATCTTCCTTGGGTTTAGAATCCACCAAATATTTTTTAAATCCTTTGCCTCGAAGAAATACTTGAGCGGATCGAGACCATAAAGTATAATTGGTCCCATTGAGTTTAACAGAGGTAATGAGACCATTAATAAGAATGAGGCGTGGCAAAGACGGAGTAAGAGACCTGGTATCTTGCTTGGGTTCCATTATAGTGCAACAAATATGGAACAAAAAGTGTTGTAATGTAGAACCAGAGAAAAGAAAGCTACTAAAAGACTGAACTGGACTGGCTGGGCTTACTGGACCACTGAACCGGGAAGAATAGGCTGATTGCACTGCTGAACCGAACTAGAGAAGCCCACTTGAGGGCTGAACCGAACCAGAGATACCCACTGGACCACTGAACCGGGAAGAATAGGCTGACTTGACTACTGAACCGGACTAGAGAAGCCCACTTGAGGGCTGAACCGGACCAGAGATACCCACTGAAGCATTGAATCGGACTAAAACTAATTGAACCAGACAGAACCGGACATGGACTGGTCTGGTCTGGATCTTGGATCAGGATCTAGTTCTGGGTCTAGATCCTTTACCCAAACCCATAAACTGACCCACTTGAATAGGGTCTTCTCCTTCGCTGGTTAGGGTTTCTACCAAACCCTATGCCTTTACTGTTGAACACCACCACAACATCGAATAGCACCACAGACCACTACGAGGCAAAACTTAGACAACACCAGGGTTGACTACACCACCACGAAGACAGTCGCCACAAACAACTGCACCAGGCGACTGCACCACCACAAATCAAAAAAAAAATCCAGACTGAGTTGACACCACCAACATCGACTATACCAATGACAGCAACACCACACCAACAGTAACAACACTAGGATTAATGCTCTGATACCATGTTAAGTTAAGAGAATTAACATAACACAATATTAGAGAGAAAGAGAGAGGTTAAAAACTTAACCTAACTCTCATACATCACTTGTATTTCTAGTTAACCTACAATAACAATAATTACACATACACCCTCTTATTATTAACAAATTACACATACTACCCTACTATTCTTAACAGAAGCCAATGGCATAAGATATAAATGTCAAAGACCTTAGATCAATTAAAACCATTGAGAGCTCTCAAAAACTGCATAATGAGTAAATGTCAGGTATAAGATTTTCAAAACCGATATAAAAACGTACAATTAAAGAACTTTGTCACTCAACCAGAGCCAAACAGCTAAATTTTTCATTACAAATGGAACTCACTTGACATGAGTTGACTTTATTATCCACGGAAGAAAAACAATGAGCCAATCCACTTGGACCAAATGACCACCAGTAATAAAATTCAACTTCATGCTCTTTCTTCATCAAAAGAAACCAATATTTTTAGTAATATGATGCAAATTTTGAATGTAAAAAGTGCAACTTACAGATGTATTTAAGAAAAAGATGACCCAAGAATAGTGTCAGCATTAAATAACAATCATCTGGTAATGAAATCAGAACTAGAAGCTATTCCCACAAGAACGAACCTGCTTCTTCCCTCTCACTCCTAAATGTGGTGTCCCCAAGGTAATAAAATTGATTGGCTCCAGCCCAGCAATCATACCTCGACTCAAGGACCAAGCTGTTTCTGAGTTTGCATTTTTCGAAGTAGCTAGATCATCATACTGATTACTACTTGAGGCATTTGGTTTGTAAAGAACAGCAACTGCATATCTTGCAATCAATCCACCAAGAGAATGGGCTAAAAAGGATATCCTTTCAAGGCTCTCAGTTTGTCTTACAAGTTCCATGACCTGTTCATAACAAAAGTCAACACAATATAAAAGGATTAAGCAACATCCTATCACACCCAGAAGCTAAATTATTGAAAGGAAAGTAAAAGAAAAAGGCAACTAGTTAGTCAATATAGGTTACTGTGGTGAATTCCGTAAAGCCTAACTTCAGGCTTTTTCACATAAAGTGGATGCTTTAAGCCCAACCAACAATTTCATGCTTCACAGTCTAGACTTTTACCACTGCATCATGCTGTGGCCCCTGAACTGCATTAATTGAAGATGTACACAAACACCTACAGTAACATAAAAATTTAAATATATTAATACTCACTTCATCCGCTAATCGTTTTCCAGCTCCATCAATCCCAGCGAAGGTTTTAGTGTAAGTGTTGCATGAACTTGCTGAAAACAATAGAGAAGGTATACAGTGATATGAAAATATCTTACATTTTCAAATTACGGTGGAAAACAGTGAATTTGAAAACATAATCCAAATGAGGGACTATATAAATCCATACACCAATGCAGCAAAAGAGTGAACCTTGTGAATGACTACAGCATCATTATAAAAGCATGATATGATTGATAAAAAGTATGAGTATACCATCATCAACATTCTATGCGACTTTTTAAAATAAATGGTTTTTATTATCAAGAAACGAGACTTTCCAGTAAATATAATAGCAAGTTCGTTTGAATTAAAAATATATGCTCTTTCTAGCCATTCTCTTCCACAACTCCATCCTTCAACTAATCCCCAGAGTTATTTGATTGTGCCGTACCCAGTAACAACCATTTCTTCAGTAAACGAATTAGAGTCATTATTCTTTATGTAGCAAATCCATGGGTCCCTTCCCAACCTTCCTTGCACTAGCAGTCCCTAATGCATACTAAGTGATTCGTGCAAGTAATGTCACTGGTGCTTTCCTTTTCGATGCCCTACCTGTATAGTTAACGGTTTCCTATTTGACAACACAGTAAAGAATGATTTGACACCACCTGTTTTATAATTTCTAGAATGATATCATTCAACACAAAACAAGAAGTCATGGTATAATTCACAACTAAAGCATGACAATTTTCGTAGATGAACATACCGTAGATTAAAAAGTTTCTTCCCAGACGCCTCTTCAACTCTGCTTCTGCATAGGTCCAGTTACTTGGGCTGCATTATTTAGAAGCTCAGGCAACTCAATATCGCATGTAACAGCCAAAACACTCATGATCATACAGTATTAATTCTGCCTCTGTGTAATAGGATATTTCTGAAGGTGGAGTTAAGGAGAGTTGTAGATCAGAAATAATGGAGGAAGGGGAAGGTGTGTACTATTATTAGACTTCTAGTACAATAAAGCTTGAAACATGGAATGAAATCTAAATAACTACAAAAAGAATGAACTCCCAACACTTTCATGCGAATTTCTTTTGGATAGACAACACATAAAGACATGCCCAAACCAGGGCTGAACCTTGTACTTCACCCATTTCGGGGGTGGCAATGATAATACCACTCAAGCCATCAGCTGGTGGTATGAACTGCCAAGACACTTTGGAATGCCATTCAAGACAAGATAATATTAGTGAAGGAAATAACTGAAGGCAAATCAAAAAAAAAATCAAAATGGGAATAATCTCTATACTTTTGGAAATGTGATGCTGAACTGTATGCAACAGGTCAACAAATAAGAAGGCTTTCAGAGAGATGAATCATGATTCATGACATATAAACAATCAAAGAGGTGCCACCAACATAACAGTCATATCCTAGACCAAGCACATCATGCAAATACTGCCATTACAACCAGTCCTCACCCCACCATACAAATACTTCCATTACAAATAGTCTTCACACAAATAAAAATGAAATGCTTTAAGTGCGGTAAAGCAAGGCAGTGGAGTATCCACGCAGAAAGCTTTCAACAATGGGTAGAAAACAATCACACCCAACAGTAAGTTGGGTCGAGCCAAGAGTTTTACGACTATTTTTTCTATTTTGCTATCACATGCTTGCATAGCAATGCTTCTAGCCACCCACAATTCGCTGAATAAAGCCCACCAAGTAATTATTTACCCCTTTCAATCTATGCTTGCTAAGGCCAACCCTAGGAAGATCTACTATCACTGGCACAACAAAAACTTCTTCATTGCATTTTGTTCACTAAGATCCTGATTAGTGGCTGATTATATGAGGTTGGTGGGGAGAGGGCTGACCTTGACAGTCTAACTTCACTCATACAACACAGAAGCATCTAGGCCCTGATAATTTTTCGAGTACCAAACAAAACAAAAGCCCTTACTACATACAGAGAGGACTTTCAGAGCCAGATGGCAGAATGTTGCAAGACAGGATATCATACATCATGTCAAATAAAATAGAAGGCTGCTTATGTTAGACATGTACACCTTATAAAGGAGATCTAACAAACAAACACACACATGCATGAGGGCCTAACAATATACAAGCAGTAATTATGCAAGTGAGACATCCATTTGTTTTTCCTTTTATTTCCTCTTCTCCTGTTCATTTCTGCTTCTATCCTTTCTAATATAAATATCTCTTTTTTTGGTCGGGAAGCCCCATGCTACCTGCATTTTGCAGATAGTCTCAGTCCACACGTACCTGATCCAGAATCTTGTTACTTTCTTACTTCAAAGTAAACGAATAAGTACCTTCCCATGATGCCATGAACAAGAACAAGGAGGTGGCTAGGTTCATCTTTCTCATTAATTATCTCCATTGGTGACACGTCGTTTCCTTGAGTTGTACTCGTAGTTGCGGCTCTATGGTTTTTATGTTCCCAAATACTGGATATGCCTGCAAAAGGTTTATGTAAACCCTCAAACCAAAGGAAAAAAGAGAAAAAAAAAAAGAGCTAATTTACACATTAACTGGCCTGTAATGTATTTAAGGCATGCACTAATATATCGGCCACATATTGGTCCTGCATATCCCCATGAAACAAATATCCTAAAGTATTATTGTCTAAAATGGAGGGCTGAAGCCTCTATTATGGTACTCTTTGTCTTGTGAAAGCTTTGTCTTCTTGAGGTTAAGAGTTCAACCCCTTCCCTTCCCCCCCCCCCCCCCCCCCCCACTTTCGTCCCTCAAATTTTGAGTGGTGGGTTTTGCTAGTGCAGGTGTAGAAGCACCAAGGAACAGCTTGGAGTTGGAGGAACCGAACATGGAGGCTTCTTCATTATCATCAAACATGAAGAAAGAAGAAAATTTGAAAATTTTGAATATCCCAGTAAGCATAGAACTCATCTGTATATCTTAATTATGACAAAAAAATCTATCTTATTTTTATTTTTAATATAAATTGTTATGTCCAATGTTCTCTCTCTCATGTTTCTCTTCTCTCAGCAAATAAGATAAGAGATTCTTGGGTCTGTAAAGTGAGTAATAATGGCAAGAGAAATATTGTACTGACCAAATTATTATGATGATTTTGGATCTTTAGTTTTGTCACAAATTTTCTAAATCCAGGCGGG